AATTACAAAAATATTTTGTAGTATCCATTAAATTCCGGCTAAAAACAGTACACGGTTTGAAAAAGAATCATTCCAATGACGGTCCATTCTTGCGGTCCCAAATTCGCCACTATTTCCGGCCTCTCCAACGCAACTCGTTGTCCAGACGTAAATATGCTTTCCAAAAGCTGCTACGCTACCATATCCAGTGGTTCTCAACCTACTACATCACAAAAGCGGCGTGCTGATTGGCCGGCAGTTCCGAATCGTCCGACTGGTGGTCCCCGACTCGACAAGCGCACGTGCGCCGACTGAGGATTTTTAAGTGGCATTAACGCATAAACTGCAGAAAGTCAATGCAGAAATTCGACAGGTGCTATATTGCCGTGGATGTGATTACACCTACTTGAATAATAGCTCAGCCGTTTAAAGTATGTTAAATGCCAGATAGTTTTCTGATTTTTCTTGCTTTGAGCTTTCATGTGCTATTACTTTTACCTCAGTGTCTACTGTCTAGTCTGGAAGCTATTTGGTTGGGAGAGCCCTAAAGGTAAGTAAAAATTGCAAACTGCTTCTAGAATGACTTAGTTGCGCCATATTTGTAGTGAAGCGAGGTAAAGGAGACAGAGGATTCCTTTATAAGGGACATTTAAGAGACAAATAGGGGAAGATTAAGGGAACCCTATGTAAACACGGTTATTATTGACTTTGGGGCGGCCTTGGATCGTAACTTTAACCACAAATAGGGGTCTGATAAGCTTTAACCTGCTTCAAACATGTTTGAAGACTGCATTTGCGGTCGACGAAACTTGTACGGACATTCCGTACAAGTTTCCGGGCCTTCCAAAACTTGTACGGACACTGTCCGTAGTGTCCGTAGTGGTGGCGACGCCCATGTTGGTTAGGCACCAGGTTTTTTTCTAGTTAGGACTTTTCCTGGTAAAGTTCACCCCACAACAACACACACCAAACAACAACACACAAATCAGCAGCAAGTCACAGCAGCAAGTTCTATGTAAGTAACCAAATTTATTGTCTCGCCCATCAGGCACCTTTCGGCCTTCCCTTTGCCTTGCAACCCACCGGACGCCACATGAGCCGGTTTAACGTAGTCTTTTGCCTTTCTCTTAGTTCTTGGGCCGGAATCAAATAGCCGGCATTAACGTAACGTAAACGGAAGACCTGGCCAATTGCCAGCTAGTAACTTTCCCCCTCCCCCGGCTATAGCCACTTGGCTTGCCGGGGAAAAAAAAAATATCGCCCCTAATTGACCCAGAGTTTCGCGAAAAAGGAGCGGTTGTGCCGTAACCGTTACGAGGCGCAGCAACCGGCGCCCACTTTTAGTCCTCACCGGACCTGGTTCTCTACATGCGTGCCGGCCGAGAGGGGGTGAGGGTGCGTACGACCCCGTCGCCGTTTTCCCCAAATTAAGCTAGAGCCTGGCGGAATACCGAGCGTGTGCGCCGTTACGAGACGCAGCGATTGGTACCCGATTTTAAGGTTTCAGGTCAACCGGTGACATCTGAGTCTGACTTCAAGCAAGTGTACCAAGGCACGGGTTTGCTTTTCGTTAAAAAAAATACCAATAATGGTCGCAGAGCTGCGATTTTGGCACCATCGTGTTCTTTATGTTCAGACGAATCGAATGATATACTTTTTGTTTAGGTGAAGCATCCTTACCAGTTACCATGCGCAGTGGAAGGGGGAGGGGGTGTATTTCGCCAACCCCTTCTGTTTTTCGCCGATACCTCACGCCGTAATCATTCTATTGACGTCAAATTTTCAGTTTCTGCCTAAAATTGAATTGCGCATCTTCAGGTGAAAGTAATAAGCAGATCGGCCCGCAGCTTTTTTAGTAACAGGGGTGTAGTACATAATGTCCAAAATCCCGCCAAAGCTGCGGCGCGGCGGCCGGCGCCGGACGGTTTCGTCTTTGCATTGCACTTCTTACTGCTGCTTATGATAGGTATATACGCGTCAAGATCTCAGATCTCAGATCAGATGAGATTAAAGCTTTGCAAAAACTAATAGCACCATCGTGCATCCTCTTGTCAATCCGCATCGAAACATATAGGTACACTCGGGGGCAGATTGATGTTCCACAACTCTTTATCCACCGGGTTCCTATGGCTCAGCATTGGCAGCAGCCGCCTGGTACCGGTAGACTGTGCCGCTTCACTTGCTTGTCAAGCGGCACAGCCTACCCACACCGTATGCCACCGGTCTGGGTCGGTGGCTGGAAGGCGATGTGGGGCGCCTGTGACGTCAGCGCAGCGGTGAGGGCCGAGCCCGGAGGCATGGCTCAAGTCGGCGCGGCGCGGCGGCTGGCGAGGGCTGGGGAGTGAGGTGGGGTGGGAGCACGGACCATCGCGCGGCTGAGCGAGTGTAGTTAACTTTCGCGTCTCAAGGCGCCAATTATTCTACCTAACAATTGTGCTAAAGCAGTTGTTAAAATGTCCTATCCCCTAAGACAGCGCCTATCATCATACTTGCCATGCACATTACGACACACCTAAACGTGGCATTGGGACAGCCGATAGAATTTATATCACACGTGCATCGAGTTGCGGAGCTACATTGTTTTTAACAGATAAGTATTATAAGGCCTTGATTGAGCGCATTGGTGTCTATTATTTCGCACAGCAATCGTCCAGGGACGTGGCAACTGGGGTTTTTGGAAAGCGTGGCGTCCCAACTTTAAGCAACTCTTACTGTTCCTCTAATGTGTGGTCGCAGCCACCAATAGCAAACTGTTCCATCTAGGAACAAATAAGTCGCGCACCTGGGACGGTTCGAACCGGGTTTCTCCAACCGGTCACCCTACGACGCTAGCGTGTATCCACTGAGCTGCCGAAACCAGCGACCACTGCCGCGGTCAAACGCGATCAAATGTCACAATACTGTCATTTGACCGCCAATGACAGTATTGTCATTTCGTTTTGTGCAGACGAGGACCATTCTAGGTAGCTCAGTGGATGAACGCTCGTGTCGTAAATTGGCAAGTGGGAGAAGCCCGGTTCGAACCCCCCCTGAGTGGTCGACTTTTTGGCTCCTAGTTGGAACGGTTTGCTATTGGGGGCTGCGACCACATATTAGAGCAACAGTAATAATCGCTTTAAATTGGGGCGTTGGCTGCGGCACTACTCATAACCCCCAGTTCCCACGTCTCTGGACGATTACCGTGCGAAACAATAGACGCCAATCTGCTCAATCAAGGCCTTAATACTAATATGCTATACAAAATATAGCTCCGCACCTCGATGCACGAGTGACATACCTAAGTTCTATCGGCTGTCCCATTGCCACGCTTAAGTGTGTCGTAATGTGCATTGCAAGTATGATGATAGGCGCTGTCTTGGGGATAGGACATTTTAACAACTGCTTTAGCACAAATGTTAGGTAGAATAATTGGCGCCTTGAGACGCGAAAGTTAAATACACTCGCTCAGCCGCGCGATGTCCGTGCTCCCACCCCACCTCACTCCCCAGCCCTCGCAAGCCGCCGCGCCGCGCCGACCCGAGCCATGCCTCCGGGCTCGGCCCTCACCGCTGCGCTGACGTTACAGGCGGCCCACATCACCTTCCAGCCACCGACCCAGACCGGTGTCATACGGGTGGGTAGGCTGTGCCGCTTGACAAGTAAGTGAAGCGGCACAGTCTACCGGTACCAGGCGGCTGCTGCCAATGCTGAGCCATAGGAACCCGGTGGATAAAGAGTTGTGGAACATCAATCTGCCCCCGAGTGTACCTATGTTTTGGTCATAGTATAATAGGCCATTCCGATGCGTTTCAGCGAAAAAAAAAATCGGGTGGTTGATTTTCCCCCCTTGACATACAACGGGGAGGTCAAGAAATTGACTTGACCTTAGGCCATCGATATCAAAATTCCGAGATGGACAAATTGCAGCTAACGATGGCCTTATTAATAACATCCTGCAACTTTCAAAGGACTCCGTCATCTACTGTAGCTCCGAAACGGTGACAAAGCTGCAAAATAGTGATTTGAGGTTGGGTCATTCAAAGTGACCTGGTGACCTGAGCTTTAAAGATAGGAAGCTCAAACTTGCGTACCATGTGTGAAAATGATGTGGGAATAGTCATATCAAATGTCGTGGCGCTACGCGCCGTGGTTTTTTCCGCTACTTATGAAAAACATTAGGGGGACGGATAACCGCCCCCCGCCCCCCTGTCGGTGCACGTTTCGAAACAGGACTTCAGTCTGTGCACCATTTGTCTACCTCTCATTCCCCACGCTGACCCCGTAGTCCCTGGTGACCCCAGCTGACCCGTCCCGCGGTCCCCCGCAGTCCCCCGTAGTCCCCATTCTGAGCCCCGCAGTCCTCCTGTGACCCCCGCCGAGCTCCGTAACCCAGCCGACCGGCCTGTCTAACCTCACACACCCCTGCTGTCCGGCCCCGCTGTCTCCCGATTTTGTTTTGTTTTGTTTTGTTTTGTTTTGTTTTGTTTTGTTTTGTAGGGTTTGGTCCTTTCGGTCTGACAAGACCATTTCAGAGCCGGAAGGATGATAGGAATTACTGGGGGAGACATTGGTCTGGGCAGACACCCTAGAGAGTCGCCGGGGCTGAGCCCGTCCGAATGGACAGGCCGACCACCCCCCCCCCCAAGCACTCTCTGCACCCGGCTACGGGGTGCGCTCCCTCGGAAGCAGCGGTGCCGCTCCAAGGGAGCAGCCCGCATGAGATAAAGGTGCCTGTCCAGTGTCCAGCCCGGAGGGGGGTTGAGGCGTGGAGGAGAAGGATTTCAGTATCCTGAGGATAGAAACGACGGACGGGTCAGTGTGCTGTCTCCTGAACGTACCTATCTGAGCCTTGTGACCCTATCTGACCCGCTCCCCGCCGTCCCCCGTTCCCCCAGCTGACCAGTTCCGCGGTCACCCCCCCCCCCCCTGAACCCGGTGACCGAGCTGACCCGCCCCTGACCCCGCTGACCCACCCCCTGACCCCGGTGACCCGAGCAGTGACCCACCCCTCTGACCCCACTGACGCCCCGGTGTCGCCGCAGGGTGAAGCGGAGCTCTGCGGCGGCCATGTCGGCAGATGAGGAGGCTGTCGTCGGCCACCGCACCTGGTCTCGGGTGAGTGCGGCCGACAGGAACACACGCAGATCGAACTCGTCGGCAGCCAGCAGGACCACGGCGCCAGCGCGCGTCCCCGCCACATGCGCAGAACGAGCGCACTTAGCAGGACGTTCCTTACCGGCATACATCCGTACAATTATCAGTCCGCGCCTCGCATATGTATAGGTACCCACTACCTAACCACTGTTTCGGAAGTCGAATTATGTAAAGGTAGGTACGTCAGTTCAGTTGTAGTCAATCACGTCAGGGGTCGATTCTTCGAGACGTTATTTGTTGACCTCAAGACCCCAACTGCAGCTCCAACATAGTCTTCGACCTGAAAAATTGCCCCTGATTCCGATTTGCGCCAGGTGGTGGATTGTCTAGGGTGTGTGAATTGTCGCATACCTAATTTTTCACGCCCTTATGGGGAAATACCTACATTCGCGTGGTCCCGTTTCCCGCAGCACCTCTAGCCTAATACTCCATGTTCTCTTGGCGAGCCACGTCCCCACAGTGGCCTTTGCACCGGCTCACGGTCCGACACCAGCGCCCTGGTGTCGCGGCCTGTGACGCCTTTCACACACCCGTGGGCCGTGTGACGCCGTGGGTGTCGCGGCGGAGCGGCGCATCAGCTGGCAGCGCGCCGTGACGGTGTTACGCGCCGCGCCATCACGGCGCCGTCACGTCCGGGTCGCCCGCTCAGCTCCGCGTGGCCGGGGGCCGCACGTGAGCGGCGAGCGCCTTCTTCCGACGGCCCTGCGATCGTGACGCCTGTGCTCTGAACGTGGGCCGCGGCATTGGTGGCTGCGCAGCGCCTCCTCAGTTTATCGATAGAAAAGAACAGCTTTAAATATACGTTTCAAATCATATGCTAGGTAGGTACCTAATATTTCCCATATATGCAAATTGCCGAGTGAGAACCGGCTCATTGTAGTCATTTAATTCAAAATTTTACTTTAAGTTTGCTGGAAGCCCGAACCGATAAAAATGAAGCAACTCGGACTCATGTTCAGATGTTTAGCGACATGTATTGCTGCCTGATATAACCCAATGTAGACGTAACAAAATCAGTTGCCTATATTTGATATTCACTATGCTGGGTAATACAGTTTGAAATGATGTAGTTAGTTCATTAACATTACGTTGTTATTACCTTAAATTAACTAAATTAAATTGAGTAATTTAAATAACCTCATGTAACGCTTATTCGCCAAAAACTGAGCCCGTTCCTTGGGGCACTTTCCCGACCTCAGACGTCGCCGGTTGACCGGAGACCCCAAATTTGGCTGGGCACCAGTCGCTGCGTCGCGTAACGGCGCGCACACTCGTTTTTTTGCGAGTATCTATTAATAAGGTTTGAAACGGCGCGGCGAATGTGTGTGTGTGTGGGGGGGGGGGCGAAGGGGGCACACGTAGCAAATCGCTGAGTCCGGCGAAGGCTGGTAGAATTGCATTTGTAAACGTGGAGTCGTTAAGCGAGACATTTAAAATATTGTTCTACCTACTATATATTAAACCGCGGGTAGGTAGCACAAATATTTTAAATGTCGAGCCGATAGGCGAGACGTTTAAAAGATTTCTCTACCTACGAGCGGTTTAATGATTTTATCCCGTACCTACCGCCGATATGTTTCGGGCGCTTAAAGGTAAAAAATACATTTTATATAAAAATACGACATAATTCAGACAAGACGAAATGTCTGCTAGACGCTTAACAGTTTGTTAATCGTCTAGACGTTTAACCTTCCAGGCGGTGGGGGGGGGGGGCATTTTTTGCCCCCCCCCCCTTTTATATATCTCCAGAACTGCTGCGCCGGTCGTCACCAAACTTTCAGTACCCTCCCGTGAATAGCTTTTGCACATTGTAACCAAAATTTTTCCAAAGGCTATGATAGGCTGGCCGCTAATGACGTCGGAGTGACGTCATTTCTGCCACTTTCGACCCAAAAAAGGTTTTGCGGCAAGAGCTATCAGGCCTACAGCTTTAGAGATACGGGAAAATGTTTCAGACATAAAAGGTGTAGAATTAACAGGGCTACGAAAGTGTTATCTCGACTTTTTGAAATTTTTGGATTTTGACCCCTAAAAATAAAAAAATAGATTTTTTGAATATAATAGCCGAAAAGTCCAAAACGTTTTTTGAATTTCGAAAAAACGGAATATATGTGATAGTGCCTACCGCCTTTTATCCACATACCAAATTTGAGATCGCTACCTCTTTTTTGGCCAAGCTATAGCGAAAAACTGTTCAAAATTGATGACGTCAAATTTTCAAACTCAATTTTTAGCAATAATAGACCTCATAGCGCAAAACAAAGACCACCATACGACTCCCCGTGACGAGTTGCATCGAATCTATACCCATTTTATGCAAAACTATCAACTTTGAAATATGACCTTTTTTACCTGACCTTGACCTGACCTCCACCAGAAAGTGACCTAAACCGTACCTGATGGTCCTATAACCAACACCATTGAGTTGGAAATGAAAAATTGGCCATAAAGCATGCATCGCATAACCTTAGTAAAGTTCGGTTCATGTGCTGACCCTTAGTGACCTGACCTGCGACCTGACCTGGTATTATCAGTGACCTCTAATAGCAACATATGTGCTAGGCAACTGACGCCCTATCGCTGATCTTCGACAAAATGCGTTTTACTCGGTGTTATAGCGCGTTCCCTAGAAGACCCGTGAACGGTGAAATATTTTATCTTTGACCTGACCTGTGACGTCATCGATGATCCCGAGGTCAATGAAATTTGGTTTCCCTCGACAAATTTGACAGGACCATCGAACGCCGTTTGAATTTTACGGATCCGCCCAGTAGTTTCGCAGATATGGGGGGGGGGGGGCAAAAAAATGCCCCCTTCACCGCGAGGAGGGTGGCCGGGAGGCCCACCGCCTGCCGGGTTAATAAATCAGTTAAACGACATCTGGTAATTTTCTTTCTTTGCACGTAAAGCAATTGTAAACACTGTCTACGGTGCGGGATGTCATGTCCCCCGTTCTGCAGAGCACGCTGCCAGTGTTCGTTGTGTGACGTCATGTCCCCCGCTCTGCAGAACACGCTGTTCGTTGTGTGACGTTATGTCCCTCGTTCTACAGAGCACGCTGCTCGTTGTGTGACGTCATGTCCCCCGTTCTTCAGAGCACGCTGCTCGTTGTATGACGTCATGTCCCCCGTTCTGCAGAGCACGCTGTCGCTGAGCGGCGCCGGCTCCGGAAAATCTGAACAGCCGCCGGCGCTCTCACATCTGGCCACCGTGGAAGCCAAGGTATGTACGGTAGTGTCCCTGCTAATGGTAAGATGCAGACTTATTAGATTGGTTCATCGAACCACCAACCTCATACGACGGTCTCACCTGCCGGCAAATCTTCCACGTACTGGCTTTGATGGCTGATGGTGCGGCGGCCGCGGCGTTGCACGCACGCTAAACTGGGCCAGTACCGTGTTCTTTGGCTATGTGTCCGCTGTTAGTATGTCCGTTGACGGTGTGTCCGCTGACGGTGTCCGCTGACGGTGTGTCCGCTGACGGTGTGTCCGCTGACGGTGTGTCCGCTGACGGTGTGTCCGCTGACGGTGTGTCCGCTGACGGTGTGTCCGCTGACGGTGTGTCCGCTGACGGTGTCCGCTGACGGTGTGTCCGCTGACTGTGTGCCCGCTGTTAGTGTGTCCGCTGACTGTACCGCTGACTGTGTCCGCTGACTGTGTCCGCTGACGGTGTGTCCTTGACTGTATCCGCTGTTAGTATGTCCGCTGACTGTGTCCGCTGACGGTGTGTCCGCTGACGGTGTCCGTTGACGGTGTGTCCTCTGACTGTGTCCGTTGACGGTGTCCGCTGACGGTTTGTCCGCTGACGGTGTGGCCACTGTCCGGCTGCAGATGGCCGGTATCGAGAGCTCGCTGTCCACCACGACCGGCACGAGCCGGCGCCGGAAGGAGGCGGCGCCGGCACCGGTACCGGTACCGGCGCCGACGGCCACCGCCGGGCCGCGCGACCTGCTCCGTGAGCTGGAGCTGCTGCACACCACGCTCCGTGAGAGGGACCAGACCATCCTGAGGTGAGCGGGCCACACGGCGGCGGCAGCCGGCCACGGACTTAGTGCACCATCCAGACAATATAGTCGGGTAATGAAATGTTGGTTGTTGGCTGACATTAAATCGGAAACATCGATTAACGTCGCCCTCGTGGATGGGTATTGGATAGGATTGCAACTACAACGTACAACGTACCGCGCTGAAGTTTGCGCAACTCATAGAACAAGGATGGACAACGTGCCTTTGATGGGTCTCAGCTCGATCGGATCGATAGCGAGCGCGTGGCGCGTGCCCAAAAAGTGCAAATTCGCGTCATAGACTTTACATGTATTAATCGGCTGGCAAAAACGGGCGAAAACAGCCAAATTTGCCCGACACGGGTCCGGTCCCGGTGCAATATCTCGGTAACCGTGGGCCCGACCGGTACGGGGAAAACAGCATCGTGTAGAGAATCGAACGGGCTATCGAATGGTGTGCGGTGCAGGGGTTGGCACGCGCCACGTGCACCGGGGAGGACACTTTCTTTTGAAAAATGGACGTTTTGGATGGATTTTGGAATTTATATTATTTTCAAGTGATCGTCAGACGGAATGAGTTGAAACAGCGCCTATTAGCAATAAAAATGTACCGTCTCTCATGGAAAAATTGTGAAAAGCTAATTGATCAAAAACAATGTGGAAAAAATCGCTGAATTAAATGGTATTTGTCCAAAATGTGCCACTAAATAATTACACGGATTTTGCTGCTTAACCTGATACGTTTGACAATTGAAAATGCTATCATTGGAAAGAGCATTCAATTGTCCGTTGAGCCGTTGTCCCGTTGAGTAAAAGCATTGAGTAGTCGGGCAGAAGATGTTGACATAGCATTGCCTTTGGTCGCCGATGACTGTCCAGGTACCTTCGATATCGGATTGTAGTTAAATGTCTGTTACCCAACAGATTTAGAAGCCACGTCCGTTGTTGTGCGCCCGCGGTTGACGGAAGCCGTGTGGCGTGTGGCAGGTTGCGCAGCCAGATCGAGTCGGGCCAGCAGAGTGACAGTGACGCCGAGCGGGCGGCCCGGGAGCGCGAGCGGCGCGCGCTCACTGAGCGCCTCTCGCGGCTGCAGACACAGACGGACACCAGCCGCGCGCGCGCCAAGAACCTCCGACTCGCCCTGGAGAAACTCGAGGCCTCAGAGTGCGTGGTGATGTATATTTTTATCGTTTTGCTTTAGATATTCAGTATGAGTGGTTTTGCTTGTAAATTGTATGAGGAAACCCGATTTTGACACCACGGATCCATGATCTGACCTTGCCTGCTCCCGACACACCTGTGATTATTGAAATCGAGAGTAAAACATTATACCGCATGTGGGCAGCGACACGTGTCCTCCCGTTCCTAGAGCGGCTTTTCCCTGCCATTTTCCACAGCTAACGTGTAACTGTGCGTCAACTGACGTCTTGTGACGTCTATCGCCGTTGTCCTCTGCTTCGTGTGCACTGTAGTGTGAGGTCACGCTGTGGTCTGCTCGCAGGAACATCGACGCGTGCATTCGACAAGCGGAGCTCGAGTACGAGCTGGAGCGAGAGGAGCTGCACATCCTGGACCTGCAGGCCGAGCAGATGACGTTGCGCGCCAAGATGGAGGACGCCGAGGGTCGCGGCGGCGGCGGCGGCGGGCCGGCGGCCGCCGACCGGCTCTCGCTGACCAGGTCAGAGAGCGTGTCGTACCGTCAGTGAGACAAACTCCACCGCACAGCGTGTCTCACAGACTCCACCACACGGCCAGTGAGACAGGCTCACCGCACAGCGTGTCTCACAGACTCCACCACACGGCCAGTGAGACAGACTCACCGCACAGCGTGTCTCACAGACTCCACCACACCGCCAGTGAGACAGGCTCACCGCACAGCGTGTCTCACAGACTCCACCACACCGCCAGTGAGACAGACTCCACCACACCGCGAGTCGGACAGGCCCGCACCGCGCGTCACACATGCCCCACCGCACCGCTTGTCGCCACTCGCTCCTCGCACCCCGTTACATATACTATTGTCTAGAATTAGATTCCTATATAGCCTGGATTCATGTTGCACCCCCATCATTTGATCCTGGCTAGTTCTGAGCATATTTGATTGACCGAATTCTCAAGTTTGAGGATTCGGTCAATCAAATATGCTCATAATCATCATGATGATATTCCTCACGACGCTTAACTCTCTTAACTGGCTAGTTCTCTGCTAAGGATGGCTTTGGTGCCCATTCAGCTATCCTGTATTTGCCAGTAATCCACTGATTCAGTTTGTCGCGCCCAGTGCATCTCGCTCGCACCGACTGAAACTCACCACGATAGCCTTCAGGACGAATTCGTTACTGTCTAACGGGGCTAGTCAACCATCTACCGTCTTACTCGTCGTCGCTAACCCGCCGACCCCGTCTGCCGGTCCCTGAGGGAGCTGCGGACGCTGACCTCGGCTCTGTGTGTCCGTGCAGCTGCCTGCCGACCAGTGCCGAGACGTCGCTGCACCTGGTGACGCTGCAGTGGGAGCCGCGCTCGCCCAGCTTCACCGTCAGCACTCACCTGTCGGGCCGCGGCGTGCTCATCGAGTGGGCCATGGACAGCAGCGGACTGCGCAAGGGCGACCGGTGAGCGACCGGCCCCGCGGGACCCGCCCGCACCCAGGGCGGGTGGCAGCGGGAGAGCGAGCACGTAATGCCTTTGTTCTGTGAAACCATGGAGAGGTGTGTGGATTGTCGGTCTCTTTACAGCGTGTGCATGGTTGTGAGGTGCGCTGACCCTCGCCTCCGACCCGCCGTCTGCCGCAGACTGCTGGAGCTGAACGGTGAGCACGTGTTCGGCCACCGCCGGGAGGCGCTGCTGGCGCTGGCGGCGGCGGCGGCCGCGGCGCCGCTGCGCCTGCTGGTGGTCCGCTGCCAGCCGCCCAGTCTGGCGGCGCGCCGCGGCGCCGGCAGAGAGCTGGCCGCCCTCCGCGAGGAGCTGGCCCTGCTCGCCGGCCGGCTCGAACAGAAGACGCTCGAGAACAAGGCGCTGCACGCCGAGAAGGAGCGCTGCGTGCGCGACAGCGAGGCGTATCGCAACGAGAACGTGCGGCTCAGCCACCGGATCGGCTACCTGGACGAGCAGGTGCAGGAGATGCAGGCCGACCTGGACAAAATCAAAGGCGTCACCGACGAGAGCCTGCGCCGCACCAAGAAGGACGTGCAGGTGTTCACCAAGGGCCCGCACACGGCCACCATTCCAGTGAACGTGGCCGGCCGGACGGACGGCCCGCCGGCTACCCCCACCTCTGCCGCCGAGTCGGAGCCGGAGCCGCCGGCCGGCCAGCGGCCAATCTACCAGAACATCCGGCCCAAGATCAAGCAGAAGCCGCGCAACATCCTGCAGCGGCTGCAGCAGCTGGGCGCGCCGCCGGCCGCTGCCGACTCGGACACGGGCAGCGCCTTCAGCGTCAGCACGCTGGACGGCAAGCCACGGCCGCCCAAGAAGCCGGCGCGCCTGAGCCTGCAGCGCGCCACCAGCGTGCAGTCGGTGCGCTCGGCAGACGACACGCTGTGCGCGGGCCGGCGCGCCGCCGCCGCCGCCGCATCCGACACGGTGCAGACGTGGCCGTCCGTGGAGCGCAGTCTGGACCAGGTGCGCCAGCGCGCCGCAGCCGCCGACCTGGCGAGCCTGCGGCGACTGGTGCGCCGGCACCGGCCGCCGGCCGAGCGGCTCTGACCCCCCGCCCCGCGCAGTGCCCCGCCGGCCGGGCGGCTCTGACCCCCGCCAGGACCGGCCTGAGGCGGCGTCGCGACCGTCCATTGCGACTCCGTCCAGTGAAGCACGTGAGGCTAGACTCGTTACTGCACCGCCTAGCAGACACTCTACATCTATCGCGTCCAATCAGTGCCAGTGTCATAGGGTTGTATATCGTTTTCGAACACGTGTTCCCAAAGAATATATTTATAAGATATTCTACAATTGGATCTTTATGATTATACAACGCGTGGCTCGTGGATAAGGCAGGTGGTAAATATGGACGGAGACGCACACGATAACGGAACAACACACGATGCCCTTTACAAGTGCACTGCACGGAGTACAGCCGACTGCGGCCACAGACCGCTGGCGTCACAGTTCCGTGATGAGGATGGCCCCGCCTAGTAACCACCGAGAGGTGCGTGTCCGTGCTGCCGCCGTGAGCCGTCGGACGGCGAGTGGCCACCGGGTCACAGCGCTCATAACTTCTCTGGACCGAACATATCGGCGAGGACAGTGGTGGGACAGATCACAGAATATTCAGCTACTTGGTAGTACGACAGCGAATATCGGAACGAATGGTGATGCGGAAAAAAACACGCAGGAAACGCATGTCACGCTGCTAAGTCAGAAAAGTTCATTGCTTCCTCCAACACAATTACTTGAAAGCCAAGCAACCTATAGTGGTTCTGATTGGTGACGTGTGGATGGTAGCTGATCCCGTACCGGTGTCCCGCCGCCGTCTCGCTGCCGCTGTGGGCGCGGCGCGGCGCGGCCTCACTTGCCGACGATGTCGCGCTCGGCCTTCTCGCGCGCCTCGCTGACCATGCCGGCCACCTGGGACACGTAGCCGTTGAAGTCGGACCGGATCTGGTTGGTGTTGGCGTCCAGGTTGGCGTCCACCTGCGGGATGGTGGCAAACGACGAGCCGGCTGGCGGCAGCGCCGCCGGGCAGAGGTCACACAGAGGTCACAGAGGGCAGAGGTCACACACCGCGCGCCGGGGCAGAGGTCACACACCGCGCGCCGGGGCAGCGCCGCCGGGGCAGAGGTCACACACCGCGCGCCGGGGCAGCGCCGCCGATCGACTGCGGCTCGAATCGTCTCTGCACTGAGTGCATGAGGCAGTGATCGCTGCTTACGTAAAGACTTTTGATGAGCGTCGCCGTTTAGAGACTAATTATTTGAAATGTCATACACAAAACAGCTCATATTTACCATTGAATTGAAACATTTGCCACCGGGCCACCCTCAGTTGTCTATCAAGCAGCAGCAACTACATCTTCAGAAATGCATTATGTTAAAATTTTCCATTTAAATCAACAATGGTGAGTCAAGCATGGATAAGACCCAGTACGTTGAGCACAAAGCACAGAAGCGGCCGCTGGTCGGCTGTCGTTTGGGGTAGGTACTGACGCAGTTTGCCGGCGTGTCCGGGGTCGGCGCCCTGCTGGTGCGCGATCACCAGACACTGCGAGTCGCGCAGCCCCTGCTGCTGCACGAAGCTCGTGTAGAGCGCCTCCAGCTCGCGGGCGTCGCGCTCCACCCGCGAGGCGCTGTACACGAACAGTACACCGTTGGCCTCGTGCTGGATGGCCGGCCAGCAGCCCTCGTACCTGCACAGCGGGCACATGTCAGCGGACACACGTCAGTGACAGACACACTGCACAGACAAACACTGGGCATCAGTCAGTAACAAACACGGACAGACACCGGGCCGCGCGTCCACTCACTGTCGGTCGCCGCTGACGTCCCACAGCTCCACGTCCACCTTGTCCTTCCTGTTGTTGACGTTGATGTCCCGCACGTCAAACTCGAGAATCCGCGCGCCCTTCGTCGGCCAGTACTCGTCGCCAGAGAATTCAAACGCGTCCGCCAGGAAATTGGCCAGGTGCGTCTTCCCAGACTGAAAAATGAGAGGCTAGTGAAAATATAGTTATAAAAACATTATCGATGGAGCACATAAGTCGTCCTGAGTGTTGCATATGACAGACGCCGTGGAACTGTTATGCAGACTTAGACCTCATCTGTAACCTCTTTGGCGTTTGGCCCTTAAAACCTTCGACGTTTAAAAAGTCATTTAGCGTATATACACGTCGCGAGGGGCAGACCACCACGCCCCAACCAGGAGTCGCGCCGGCGGGAGCTGCTGGATATACAACTTCCCCATTCATGGAACTGCTCCAGCTAGGGCTGCGAGCCCTCCACTGGCGGCCATGGGTGGCCGCTGGGTCTGTAGGCTGCAGGTGCGGGTAACTCGACTGTCTCGACTCCTCGGAGGTAGCCCACTCAGGATAGCCCACGGGCCACGGCCACCCGCGTGAGCACGCGGCTGCAGCTTAACTTCCGGCGCCCCCCCCCCCTCCCGTAAGGGTCAGGAGCAGGGAGAGAGAGAGAGAGAGAGAGAGAGAGAGAGAGAGAGAGAGAGCGAGAGAGAGAGAGAGAGAGAGAGAGGGAGAGAGAGAGAGAGAGAGAGAGAGAGAGAGAGGGAGAGAGAGAGAGAGAGAGAGAGAGAGAGAGAGAGAGAGAGAAGCTAAGCGCAAAGAAACGGCGGGCCTGCTCTTTACTCTAGCACACGTGGTGGTGGACGTCTCACAACTGGTTAGAAGGTTAAAGGTAGTGTGCCACCTTTGAAAGATTTCCCATTTTATTTTTCCTAGGATAAGAAGCTTCTGTTTTTACCTAATATCGCAAAAAAATCAAAAATGGGCCTGGAATAGTGCCTTTTTCGCCTAAAAGTTTATCGGTTTTTCGATATGTATAACAACTGTAGTGGGCTGACCTGCAAACAGGCGTCGGCAACAATCGCGAATGCGGCGCACATGTGACAATAAGCAAAGGTCATTATAGAGTTACGACGTACGGGAATGAGTTATCAGCTGTCTAATCGTAGACAACACAATGTCGAGCCTTAAACTGTAAGCCTGTATTGGTATTGTTTCTTTTATTTGGCTGTCGAACATTATTTTTGGTTTGAAATATGATTTTATGTAAAATAATTGATATGAAAAAGCCGTCTGTTAAGTTATGTCCCCATTTCACCACACGCAAGTGGCAGAAATGACAATGATCAGCTGACGCATTTTTCTTGGCCGAAGTCAGAGCGCGCGGCCCGACGCACCACCACCGCACCACAAAGTATTACCGGGGTTACATGAGCGATCCGTTCCAAATACGCACTACGCTAATGCGCATCAGCTCCCCACAAACGTATCTACGGCACCGGTTACATGAGACTAATTCGTTTTATCTACGTCAAACGGATCTTGTTTGGCTCACCCGGGCTGACTCCTCGACGGCCGGTAATTCGCATCACAAACGGAATAGGATTAGCGTACAGTCATGGCGCAGTTGCGGCATTTACAGGGACGACCGAACTAAATTTTTATTATTGCACGATATAACATCATTTGATATGCTCAAAAACATTAAAAATAAACATGAAATCAAAAATTGAAAACAAAGTTTTCGTGTTTTAAATCACTGAGCACTGATTAGCCATGCAGCGACAGCAGGGTGGTCAGAATAAATTTATCCATCAAAATATTTCATTCATTTTATTTTTGCTATTTACCGAATTCACCTTCAAAGACTTAACAAAAATATCAATAATTTTTTTTTTTGCTATTTTCTACGAAGCATTCAATAAAAAATGCTTATTATTTTGCATTTTGACGCTTCCATTCAGCAAAGAATAGTTCTTGTGAAATACGTCCAGTTCCGGTCCGAGTCGTACAAATCGGCTACATGAGCGATCCGTTCCAAATACGTACTACGCTAATTCGCATCAGCTCCCCTAGAACTTATTCAAGGCACCGACTACATGAGCAAATTCGTTTTAGTGACGTCAAACGGATCTAGTTTGGCTCTCGGCCCGATGCGCATTACAAACGGAATAGCATACAAATGTGGCGCATTTCCGTAGCAATAGAGGTGACTGAATTAAAAATTTATTATCTTATGTCTTTTTTGCATTTAATCTGCTCAGATCATTCTCAATTAACTTAACAAAAAAAAGTTGAACATAAAGTTGTCTTGCTTTGACTCATTGGGCACTTGCCTCTCTTGATTCGTCTGTAGTGCTGTCAGAAAAATGTTTCAACTGAAAGTACTTAGATTTTTACTTTTTGGTTTTCACGATATTTATTTTTGAAAACTTGACAAAATACCGACATAATTTTTTAATAATTATTTCAAAAGAAGAAAATGAAAAAGGTACCTGTAATTTTGCATTTTAATGTTTCTTTTTGGGAAGAAATAGTTCCTGTAATACGTATCTTGGTCCTATTCGCTCCTAAGCCTGTTTCTCAGCGGATTTTGTTCGGACCGCCGATTCGTATTAGCAGGTGGATACATGAGTCGGTAGTACGCTCCTGATTCGCATTAGCGGTGAATCCGATCGTGATACGTATTTGCTTTGCTCATGTAACCGCGGATCGGATCGCCGATTCGTACTAGCAGGTGGCTACATGAGTCGGTAATGCGTTCCTAATTCGAATTAGCGGCTAAATACGTATTTACTGTGCTCATGTAACCCCGATATATGAGCAGAAGCCGCGCCCAAAGCCAGGTTTTTTTTTTTGAATTTTGCTCCCGACAGGCCGAGGCCCTGGTCGGGGTAGGGGGAAGTTACTAGCTGGCAATTAGCCAGATCTTCCGTTTTACTTTACTTTAATGCCGGCTATGTTATTCCGGCCCAAGGCAATATCAAGAACAAAGTTTACGTTAGCCCGGCTCATGTGACGTCCGGTGGAAGCAAGTGCAAGGGAAAGCCAGAAAGGGTGCCAGAGTGGCAGTGCCGAGAGGGATTTTGAGTACTTACATTTCTTGCTGCTGAATCTTGATGCTGAAATGTGGTAGTGTTGTAATGTGTGCTGTTGTTGTGTTGTGAGTTCCACCAGGAAAGTCCTAACTAGAAAAACCTGGTGCCTATCTTAGAGGGCAAAACCTGTGCGCTTTTGCCAAATTGCACAGGAAAAATCCCTTTGCTTTGATATTACGTTACGTTATATCGCTAATGTGTAAGTGTGTTTGTGGAGCTATCGCCTTCATCCACTCCCGGGGGCAGTGGCGGCGGATTCGATTTTGGCGTGGGGGGGGGGGCAAGATCCCAGTCGAGATGATGTCATAGGCGGATCCAGAAAGGCGTTTTCGACGCTGTAGGGGACATACCCCCAAAAAAGTGTCCAAAATCCAAAAACTCCTCGGATTTCGATTCCTTACGGACCTAATGCTGAACAGCATAGAGCAAAAAAAAAAATACTGATAAAAGTGTTATTATTAGGAAACATAAGGTACGTTTTGTCCATTTCGGGCGATGCAGAGGCCCTAGGGGGAGGGGGAGTAAATATTTGCTTTAAATGCCCGCTCCCTGGATCCGCCAGTGGACGATGTAACGCTTTTCCGGCTGCATTTGAAAAAAGCTCCAATGGGAAAAATTGTGCCATAACCCGATCGCATATCAGATGTTGAAGAACGGTGCCAAACCTTTTGAAGTAGGCGAGCGCTATTCTTTGCAATGAGGTAACTCGTTACCATTTTCTCTGTTCATTTTACGTTCGATTTCCGTTTAACCTTCCTTTAAAAAGTATTTCTGAGACAGATATCAAATGAAACAAGCTCACAGCGGGAGGAGACCGCTCAAACATTCAAAGACAGTCGGTCGCATCTAAACCTATTGGGACAGCGATCCGCCAGAAACCCTCCCCAAGGCAGTAGTTCGCCAAATAAGCTCACCGAGACGGGCTGTCTCGATGGGTTTATACAGTTAGCCTACAGCAAGGCTTAACTAAGGCCCAAACGCTCGTCAAGATGGGAACGGAGGGTGAGGGAGCGCGGCGGCGGGCTGAGGTGAAGGAACGGTGGACTGGAACGAGAATCCAGAAGCTCTGGGTGAGGCGTTTCTTTATTAGGGCTTTAGGGTGTACTGACTGCGGTAAGGTCCAAATTATCACCAAATTTTGCCACGACACCTACCGGTTCAGGCACTCGAGAATCCGTGGCCAGTGATATCTGCAAAGACGAAGCATTTCTAACCAAGCTTCAGCCTGGTGTCAGGGCGCCTCAGGTGGCTTTAATTACAGTGGCACATACCAAACGACCTCAGTGCAGCCAGTCTGTGGCCAAAATTCGGAACAGACTTCAACGAAAAGTGAGACAAGGTTAGTGCTATCGGTAAGTGCCATTATAGACTTGGGCCCCGTTGGCTTGACCCACTGGAAGGTGGTAGTTATCGGACGCTGCGGGGCATACTCATTTTTCCAAAATGCCTTAGATTTTGCTTTCGTGTTCATAGGCGGCGGAACGGGGAGGGCACCGGGGCACCGCGCCCCCCTTTGATTTTGGCATTTTAACGTTAGCCCTATGGGCGTTGCATGGAAAGAATGGGACCAAAAGTCGGCAGTGCCCCCCCCCCCCTTAATTGAAGGTGTTCCGCCGCTACTGTTCGTGTTTGATGCTCTTTATTCTATAGCCAGTCTTTAGACAGGGGGGGGGGGGCACTAATGATCAGTGCCCTAACCCTTAAAAGTCTCCATCATTAATTTTTACTTTTTTAATAGTGAAAACTGAAATAAAGCGGATACTGAACTGTGAACATCCAGTTTTAACACTGGCCCCACACAAGCCTCCGAATGCCCAAAGCAGATCTCTGATGACTGGCCTTTGGGTGTCATACCATACCGTGCATTGGTCAATGTGGTCAATGTGTACGACCTCGGCGTTTACCATTTTATGCGCTGGAAACTGTTGCGCTTGAAAAAAAAATCAGGGGAGTGGCTTATTATGAGCGCTCATCAGTCCTAACTACCCGCAAGCGAATGGCTAGCCCTTCCGTCTCCGCTCGCTTGCGATTTGGCATTTATGTAGGTACAAAATAGCGGCAAACGACCACTGAAGGTATGAGTT